TCGGGGAAGCTGCTTGGGAAGGAAACCCTGACTTTCTTTTCCTGCCTGGTGCCATTTCCACGTGGCAGCCTTTGCCCTCCCCGTGCCCGCAGGGAGGGGTGAAAATCCACAGCTCCTGCAGCTGCTTCCCATCCAGGAGCTGCATGACCCCCCCAGCTCCTGCTGTCCCCCTGGCAGGGGATGCTTCTGCTGCTGGGGGGGCTGGGGAGTGGTCCCCAGGTCTTCCCTGCTTGGGCTTTGGGGGAGCTGTTGGCCAAAGCCCCCCTGGCAGTGGCCTGTGGATCTTGCTGGATTTGGGGAGGGCTGGGCTCTCTGATGCCACATTCCACCTGCCCAGCACTGGTGCCCAGCCCTGTTCATCCCTGCAGCTCCTCTTCCAGCCCAGGGATGGGCTATTATGGTCCTAGAGGGATTTAGGTTCTGCCAGCAAGAGCTTTGCAGGCAGACCCAGCTCTGGGGAGTGTTGCCAGGTGACACTTTGGGCAAGTGTGGGTCCATCTGTGAGGGACAGACCCAGCCCAGTGTGACCAGCCTGCCTGGAGTGATGGGATTTACTTGGCTCTTTGGAAACCCCATGGACATGGTACAGACCCAGCCCTGGCTGGAGAGCACGTCTGGTGTTCCCTGAAGTGCTGGATGGGGCTGGACAGGTGGGATTTATCCCAACATTCACCTTGGCCTGGCAATCTGTGATGGGAAAACTACTGATGCTGGTGCCCAGTGAGGATGGGGGACACCAGCAGCCCCCCCTGCTGCACAGCCTGTCCTGGGGACCCCAGGGAACCTCCTGCCCCAGCCACGTAGGTGAGATTGGACCCCTGGAGCTGCTGCTGGAGCATCCCAAGGAGGAGCAGAAGCAAAGCACATCTTGTTGACCCTCCCTCCCTGTCCTGGATCACCTCAGCTCAGCTCTCACCCAGTTGAGGACAAACCAATCAAGGACAAACCAGAGGTGTCTGCAGCTGGGACTTGTCCTTCAGGATGTTCCTGGGCTTCCCCCTGCTGCAAAGGGATCTCCTTGGGATGGATTTCACCTTGGCAAGAGGAAGGACTTTGCATGCAGAGGTGGAGCAGCTTCAAGGTGCACCCGGGGGTGGCTTCATGCATCTCCCCACCTTGATGTTGGGAAAGGTATTTCTGGTTCCTGGGAAGAGACACCCCATGATGGAACTGGGAGTGTCACCTCCTCGGATGAACTTCCTGCTCCTGTCAGCTCCCAGTGACCTGGAGGAAAGGCTGGAAAGATGTTTCCAGACTAAAGGAGGTGGCTTTGGAGCCAGGGGGACACGAGGGGTGGGGTCTCCACCAGAACTGCTTTGGGAGGAGGACACTGCACACAGGGAGAGGGATGGAGACCAGGTGCCTGTTGCCTGCCTGGCCCTGCTGAGCTGCAGCACAACCCAAAGAGCCCAGGGCCCAACTGCAGCATGTGGGAGAAACTTCATCCAGCCACACGTTTATTTTCCTGCCTGATATTCCCAGGAGCTGCTTGAGCATTTTTGTCCCTGCTCCATGCCAGGATCAGAGCCAAGACCAAGCCCAGGACAGTTTTGGTGCCAGGATCCAGGGATTTAGAGGCTCTCAGGCAGCTGCTGGGAGAAGGAAGAGCTGAGCTGTGGCATGACCAGCTGCAGCCTCCTGCCTTTAGCTCCTCTCCTTCCTAGCCCTCGGGTCTTGCTGCCCTCCATGATCATCCCAGGGCCCCTGGAGATGTTGGCTTGGGCTCCTTTCACTCCTCTTCCTAGTTGTTCAGGCTGTGGCAGGTGACAGTCCCCAGCTGTCCTCCCCTCCCTGCCCAGCAAGGAATGGGATGTCACCTTAGGGAGCTGCTTTGCTGTGGGAGCTGCAGGTGAGGGAAACCCTTGAGGATCTTTTGCCATCAGCAGTTCCCAGGATGGAGGAGATCCAGCAGGGAGAGGGTGGGATTCATCTCACTGGGGCCTGTGGAGGTGCTCAGACAAGGTCTGTGCTCTCTGATTGCTGCTTCTTTTTTGCCCTAAGGCAATACTCTATAAAGCAGCAAAGGCAGGTTGGATGGGGCCTGGAGCAACCTGGGCTGGTGGGAGGTGTCCCTGCCCATGGCAAGGGTTGGATCTAGATGATCTTGAAGGTCCCTTTCAACCCAAACCATTCCATGATCCAGTGATTCCCACCCCTTCCCACAGAAAACCTCTGCAGACACCATCCCATGTGCCCATTTCTCTCTAGGCATCCCTAGAGAGAACCCTACTGGGAAGAAGAACTCTCTGGGTGAGAACCCTCACTGGGATGGGGCCAAGGAGGCCTGGAGGTGTCTGACAGCACTTTGGTTGCCTTCAAAAGGCTCAGAAAAGCCGTTTCTCTTTCCTTTCCCTGTCCTGTACCCACATGTCTCTGTTGGAGACCAAAACACCCTGTGCACCAGCTCATAGAATCATAGGCTGGTGAAGGTTGGAAGGGATCTTCAAGATCATCCAGACCCACCCCCTGCATGGGCAGGGACACCTCCCACCAGCCCAGGCTGCTCCAAGCCCCATCCAACCTGCCCTTCAACACTGCCAGGGATGGGGCAGCCACAGCTTCCCTGGGCAACCTGGGCCAAGGGTTCCAGGTCCCAGTTCCCTCCAGCCACTTTGGCCAGTTCATGTGTGTCTCTGCATCTCCTCCCCTGCCATCAGGACACCTCCTGACCTGTTGTTTCACCCTGTTCTGTTTGTGTTTTTTGGGGGGGGTTGTTTTTTGGGCTGCAGAAGGAAAAGTGGAGGGTTCTGCTGCAGAGAGCAGCTCCTCACGGGCACCTCAGGGGAAACCAGGTGAGAGAAGCTCCCTCTTCTATTCTGCTGGACAGTTCTTCTTCGAGTACCTGGTGGTGGTGTCACTGAAGAAGATGTCAGATGGACATTATGAACCCAAGATAACCTACCAGTTCCCAAAGGTATTCAGTCCCATGTTTCTGGGAAGATGAGTTTTCTGAATTGAGAGAAATAGGGGATGTTGCCCCTGGCCCTGTACTCTGTGCCCTGGAGTCACAGACCCAAATCTCTGGGCTTTGCCCACCCTGGGGTGGGGTTGTTGGGACCATCTGTCTCAGCCTGGGGCCACCAAACCTCAGGAGGAAAATCACAGGGTGCTCCTTGGTCTCCTGTCTCAAAAAGGGAGACCCTGGCAGTGAAATCACACCCTGGGGAGGTGGTACAGGAGCAGACCCCTTGTTTGCAGAGGGTACCTCTGCTTTGCTGGGCTTATCCATGGGATGAAAGAGTCAAAAATTGGATTCTGGGGAGATGCTTGGCCAGGGATGTGCAGGGACCCTCTGCTTTGGTCTGAGGCCAGTGTTGCTTTGGGACAGACCCCATCCTACTTCATCCTGCTCCATCCCAGTCCATCCTGCTCCATCCCACTCCACCCCCTGTCACCCTCCCCCACCCTGACTCTTGGCATGGCTTTGTTCCAGCGTGAGAACCTGCTGAAGGGCCAGAAGGAGGAGGAGGAACGTCTCCTGAAGGCCATCCCCCTCTTCTGCTTCCCCGACGGCAACAACCGGGTCCCTGTCACGGAGTTCACCAGGTACCTGCCCTGCTGGGGGGTCTGGCCCAGGGGTTTCCCATCCCGTGCTGTTCCTGAGGGCTGGAGGATTGACCCCCAACTCCATGTGTTGTCTCTCCTTGCAGTGAAACCTTTTCTTTTGTCCTGACCAACGTGGATGGCAGCAGGAAGATTGGCTACTGCAGGAGGCTGCTGGAAAGCATCTCACCAGCCTCCCCCACCTCTGGGCTGGGGGTGTCCCTGCCACCCCAGCCCCCTGCTGGGACATGAGGACCTCTGCCATGTAGGGTGTAGTGAGAGGACAAGGGGTGATGGGTTTAAAGTGAAAGAGAGGAGATTTAGGTTAGATCTTCAGAAGAAATTCTTCACCATGAGGGTAGAACAGGTTGCCCAGGGAAGCTGTGGCTGCCCCATCCCTGGCAGTGTTGAAGGGCAGGTTGGATGGGGCTTGGAGCAGCCTGGGCTGGTGGGAGGTGTCCCTGCCCATGCAGGGGGGTTGGAACCTGATCATCTTTAAGGTCCCTTCCAACCTTCACCAACCTATGATTCTATGGTTCTCTGCCCAAAGCACAACTTCTGGAGATGTGCCTTCAAAAGCCTTGACAAAGGTGACAAGCACCAAGGTGGTGCCCAAAGGGATTTCTTTGCACCTTTCTTCTGCTGGAGCATCTGTTGGATGCTGGATGGAGGAAGGGAGTGTTTGCTGTAGCCCAAAGCTGGCCTGAAATGCAACCAGGAGGGGTGACAGTTGGGAGGTGTCACTCCACACCCACCAGTTGCTGCCTCCCCACCCAACTCCTGCAGCTTCCCTGCCTCCTTTCCCGTGGCTGCAGCAGTTGGAATGGCTGCAAATCCCACTCAGGATCAGGGTGGGGATGCACCTGCACCCATCCAGGTGGCAAGGACCTGGGTTCCCTCACCCCCATCTCCAAACCTTGCCTCTGAGCAGTGCCTGCCTTTCTCAGCTCAGGGATTGGAGCCAGTTTGGGGGCTGCAAAGTGTGGGGGCTTCTTCTTTGGCTGCTCCTTCACACCCAGGATGCTTAAATAGGGACATAACACTCAGGAACTTGCTGGATCTCACCACCCTTTCATTCCCTGGTGAACCTGCCCCACTTCTGCACCCAGAGCTGAGCTCCAGCTCTTTGGACTGGATGCCTGGAGGGCTGAAAGAGCAGAGGGACCCAGGGTAATACAGCTGGAAAGGGGGAAAAAAAGCCTGAGGACTCATCCTGATGGTGCCTGATTCAGGGGGAGGGATCAGCCCTTGGGATGGGGGGCAGGAGGTCTTGGAGGACACGTGTCTGGGGAGGGAGTGGAGCTGGTGCAGCAGGGCTGGGACGTGCTCAGACCCTTTTCCCACCCTCTCCCAGCCCTCCGGCCGCGGTGTCCGCCTCCCTGAGGTCTTCTGCATCATCAGCTGCCTGGGCTGCTTCGGGCTCTTCTCCAAGGTAGGGCTGTTGGTCTCCATCCCTGGAGGGCTTTCAAAACCATGTAGATGTGGTGCTGAGGGACGTGGGGCAGTGGTGGCCTCGGCAGGGCTGGGTTCATGGTTGGACTGGATGATCTGAAAACCCTTTTTCAACCAAAACCGTTGGACGAGGTGGCTCTGCCTGGCTTGGTGGTGGCCCAGGCAACCACTCTGCTGCCTGCTGGGGTTTCACAGTTCACTTTTCTTCTCCCCCAGATCCTGGACGAGGTGGAGAAGAGGCGCCAGATCTCCATGGCAGTGATTTACCCCTTCATGCAGGGCCTGCGGGAATCGCCCTTCCCAGCTCCAGGGAAAACTGTCACCATTAAAAGCTTCATCCCTGAGTCAGGCACAGAGGTTGGTGGAGGGTTTGGGGGCTCAGGCTGCAGCTCCATCCCCTCCTCCTGCACCTCAGGGCTGGGCTTTTGGTCCCAGCACCCAACCTGGTTATGCACCATGAGCATGGGATGGGCATGGGGCAAATCCAGCCCATGCCTGTGGAAAGGAGCCCTGATCTGGGCACTGTGCCCAGCAGGCTCAGCCCAGGCTGGCACAGGCTGAGCCTTTGCTTTTGTTTTGTCTTTATTTGTGGGGTGGAAAAGGGGGAAGGATCTGCCTGGGCAAAATAACCTGAGTGCTTAGCACCCCAGTGCTGAGACCCCCCCTGCAGGGCTGGGAACAGCTGTGGAAGGACTCAGGAAGGACATGGAGCTGTTGGAGAAAGTCCAGAGGAGCCACAGAGATGCTGGGAGGGCTGGAGCAGCTCTGGAGCCAGGCAGGGAGAGTTGGGGTGTTCAGCCTGAAGAAGAGAAGGCTCCAGGGAGACCTTAGAGCAGCTTCCAGTGCCTGAAGGGGCTCCAGGAAAGCTGGGGAGGGACTTGGGACAAGGGCAGGGAGGGATGGGATGAGGGGGATGGATGAAAAGTGGGAGAGGGAGATTGAGGTTGGACATGAGGAGGGAATTCTTTGGTGTGAGGGTGGGGAGAGCCTGGCCCAGGTTGCCCAGGGAAGCTGTGGCTGCCCCATCCCTGGCAGTGTTGAAGGGCAGGTTGGATGGGGCTTGGAGCAGCCTGGGCTGGTGGGAGGTGTCCCTGCCCATGCTGGGGGTTGGAACTGGATGATCTTTAAAGTCCCTCCAACCCAAACCAGTCTGGGATTCTATGATGTGTCCTGCCAGGGTGGGTCTGAGCTCTAGATCCCCCCTCTCCAGTGCAACTGAGCAGCTGCCTGTGGGATTGCAAGAGATTTCTTCATCCAGGAAGGCTTGAGCAAGGGCTTGAGCAGGTTGCTCAACACTTTGGCCACAGGCCAGTCTGCAGGGAGTCCAGCTGGGGGTGGCAAGAGGGAGGATCCACCAGGAGGTTCTTTGGAAGAGCTGCGGGGCTGGAGGAAGATGAAGAGATCAGTGAGAAAACAGGGCAAGGGGAACCAAATAAATCCTGGGTAGTGCAGGGGATGGGAGTTGGGAATTGTGCAGGATTTGTGTTGGAAAGGGGCTGTGGAGCCCAGGGAAGTGCTGTGCTGCTGCCTGGGGAGGGGCTGCTTGGCTGGGAAGGCAGGTTGGCACATGGAGGAGGGGGATTGTCCCCCCTGGGAAGCTGGGGAGAAGGGCCAGGACTGTGTGATGAGCTGCAGAGCCCCAGGAGCCCTTCAGAGGTGGCACAGGGGCTGGCAGCAGCAGGGCAGAGATCCTGAGCAGGTTTAGAGACTCCTGCCTGGGCAAAGCCACCAGGTAGACAGAGCACCTGTAAATACCCTCAATACTTCACTTCTGGGCCATCCCAGAGAGCCTTTTGGGGAAGTTTTTGTGGGTTTTGTAGCAAAAGTCTTGCCCTCATCCCTCCTGCCTTTCCTGGAAGCTGCTGCTCACAGAGGAGCTGGTGGGTACTGAGGGGGGAGAAGGTCCCTGCCCATCTCACACCAGGGGTTCATGAACTCTGCAGAAAAGAGGCATTTTGGTTAAAAATCCCCTGCCCCTCTAACTAGACCCCGCAGTGCACATCACTGCTGGCTTCTCCTGCATCCTGTGCTGCCCAACCCAGACCTCCAGGCAGGACAAGCTGAGTTCTGTCCCTTGCAGAGGGACGTGATGCTGCAACCCCTGGGTCATGAGCTGCTCCCAAATCCCAGGGGGCCAGGGCGGGGCAGGGTATGGGAGTTGGCACCTCCTAAGCTGGGGTTTGGTGGCTTTCCCTGGCAGCTCATCGAGCTGACACGGCCTGTGGATGCCCACCTGGAGCACGTGGAGTTCCAGGCCCTGCTCCAGAGGCTCAGCCCCCACCTCATCCTGCACATCTTCGCCTCCGCCGTCCTGGAGCGCCGGCTCATCTTCCTGGCAGAGGAGCTGAGGTCAGTCCTGAGTCACCTCAACACGAAACCCAAACCCTTGCAGGAGCTCAGGAGCCACCTGAGCTCTGGGTGGGACGTTCCCTCTGAGCAGGGAAGTTCCCTTTCCTCCCGTGATGCCAGCACGGGGCCCCTCGTCCCGCAGTGTCCTGTCCCAGTGCATCCACGCCGTGGCCGCTCTGCTCTACCCCTTCACCTGGGCTCACACCTACATCCCTGTGGTACCTGAGTGCCTGCTGGACACTGTCTGCTGCCCCACACCTTTCATGGTGGGCATCCAGATGAGGCACCTGGAGCGGGTCCTGGAGCAGCCGATGGAGGAGGTATTTCAGCTGGGTGGGGGGAAAGCATCAGGATGGAGCCACTGGTTGGTAGGTGACCCTGGGTTTGGGTTGGTGCCAGAGCTGGTCACTCTGGTTGTGCCCTTTTCCCACCCAAGGAGGCTGGAGATGGGAGCTTCTTGCATGTCCCACCTGGGACAACATCCCCGTGTCCCCCTGGGGGCTGTTGGACACCCCAGGACCCTCAGCCCTGACCCTGGGACTCAGGGAGCTGCTTTTGGCCAGGATCTTGGTATCACCCCAACCTTGAAGAAGTGGAGGAAGGCTACCTTGGGACAAGCCACCCAGCCTGGGGCAACCACCCTCCCTCAGAGGATGCTCTGGGGACAATCATGGTTCTTGGAGAGATGCTCTGGGGGCAACCACAGTCCCTGGGGGGGATGCCCTGGTTCCTGTCTCAGGTTTCTCCAGTACAGAGGGACCCATCTTTCTACTGCTGCCCTCCTGGTCTGCAGACACAGAGGTCTGATCCCAAAACAGGTGGGAGGAAGCCTTGGTGGGGCTAAACCTGGTTGCTCTCTGCTCTCTTTCAGGCTCTCATAGTTGACCTCTGCGAAGGGAAGATCATCCGGGCGGTAGGTGCCCCTGCAGGGCCTGTGGGTGGGCTTGTCTGGCCTGGGTGCTCCCAGGAAGGGTCCCTTCCCACCTCTTGGTTCCAGCTTCCTGGCAGCTTTCACATTTTGGGTACAGAGATATCTCAGTGTCACCCAGGCAGGCAAAATGTCCCACAGAGGGATGTCTCCATCTGCTGCATCCCCTTGTCAGCAGCTGGAGCAGCAGGGTCTGTGTGCTGGGCTGCCAGCATCACTGCAGCACCTGCCATGCTCATTAACTAATGAGCTCTGCAGAAAATCCCCCTGATTGGCTGCATTAACCACAGCCCACCCCCATCTGAGCCGGGTTCCCTGGTGCTTCACAGCCCTGTTGCCTTCCAGGTTGGGGATGAGGAGGAGATCCTGCCCATCAAGCTGCAGAACGAGGTGTTGACATCTCTGAGCAGGCACAACAACAACAACAACATGCACAGTAAGGGCACCTCTTTGTGTATGATAAAACATATTCCAGCTGCTCTCCACAGATCCTGGAGCCCCCTGTGAAATGGGTCCCCTACAGAGCCCTGGCCTGGGATGGTTCTGCCCCAATTTGCAATAAAATGCAAATACAGTTGGGGTGTTCAGCCTGGAGAAGAGAAGGCTCCAGGGAGACCTTAGAGCAGCTTCCAGTGCCTGAAGGGGCTCCAGGAAAGCTGGGGAGGGACTTGGGACAAGGGCAGGGAGGGATAGGAGGAGGGGGATGGATGAAAAGTGGGAGAGGGAGATTGAGGCTGGAGATGAGGAGGGAATTCTTTGGTGTGAGGGTGGTGAGAGCCTGGCCCAGGTTGCCCAGGGAAGCTGTGGCTGCCCCATCCCTGGCAGTGTTGAAGGGCAGGTTGGATGGGGCTTGGAGCAACCTGGGCTGGTGGGAGGTGTCCCTGCCCATGCAAGGGGTTGGAACTAGATGATCTTGAAGGTCCCTTCCAACCCAAACCATTCCATGATCCTATGAATCCTTTGGCCCTTCCCCAGTCCTGTGAAACACGGGGGCAAGAACAACTAATTTTGCTGAAAAAAAAAATCCAGCAGGTTTTGCCAACATTTGGCCTGCAAAGAACCTTCCAGCCCAGGAGGCAAACACAGCCAGTGCTCCCTCAGCAACATGGCTCTGGTCTTGGCTCAGTGGCAGAGGCAGCTGGAAGGGGATGCACACACAGGCTGTGAACCAGGCAGGTTCAGGTGGCTCCATCCTTTCCGTGCTTAGAGATCTCATCCCCACCTCTTGTGCTCCGTGTCCTCTTCCAGCACCTGAGCAGGTGAATGCTCTGGTCTCTGAGACCTTCGTGCAGTTCTTTGTCCGGGTGGTTGGTCATTATGCCTCATACATCAAGTGGAGTAAAAATGGTTCTGGAGCCTTCCAGGAACGACCCTTCTGCAAAGCCATCACCTCCAAGACCTGCCGCAGGTTTCTGAAGAAGTTTGTGAAGACCCACATGTTTTCCCTGTTTATTGAGGAGGCAGAAAAGAGCAGGATCCCACAGGAAGGTAAATGGCTCCTTGTTCCTTCCTGCTGGGGTTGGGTGAGCTCTGTGAAGTCCTGGGTTGTTTGGACAGAGGGAGGAGATGCCCTGTGACCTGAGGGGGCTGCAGCTGGAGGCTGAGGATGCTCAGGCCAGTGAGGAGCACCAGTTTGATTTCAGTGGCTGCACTTCTCTGTCATGGAATCATGGGGTGGTTTGGGTTAGAAGGGACCTTCAAGATCACCCAGTCCCACCCCCCTGCATGGGCAGGGACACCTCCCACCAGCCCAGGCTGCTCCAAGCCCCATCCAACCTGCCCTTCAACACCCCCAGGGATGGGGCAGCCACAGCTTCCCTGGGCAACCTGGGCCAGGCTCTCACCACCCTCACACCAAAGAATTCTCTCCTCATCTCCAACCTCAATCTCCCTCTTCCACTTTTCATCCATCCCCCTCATCCCATCCCTCCCTGCCCTTGTCCCAAGTCCCTCCCCAGCTTTCCTGGAGCCCCTTCAGGCACTGGAAGCTGCTCTAAGGTCTCCCTGGAGCCTTCTCTTCTCCAGGCTGAACACCCCAACTCTCCCAGCCTGACTCCAGAGCAGAGCTGCTCCTGCCCTTGGATCATCTTCAGGACCCTTGTCAAACTGTACTTGACAAACAACCCAAAGAGCCCCTGTGCTCCCCATGGATCTCATGCCTGGGCTGAGCTCCCTGTCCAGGCAAATACACTGGGAACAGAGCAAATATTTGGCTGGACCTGGGCAGCAGCTGGAGCTGCTCCTGCCTCTGAGCCCTGACTCATCCCTGCCAGCAGCTCCAGCACAGATCTGTGGTGGCTGGGTTGGTCCTTTCCTCTTCCAGGGGATTTTCAGAGCCCTGGGCAGAGCTCAAGGCTCCTCCCAGCCCAGGATGAGAAGAAACCAGGGTGACATTGCAGGTTGTGGCTTCCTCAGGAGGGAAGAAATGGGGCAGGTCCTGATCTCTTCACTCCTGTGACCAGTGACAGGACTGGGGGGAATGGGAGAAGCTGCATCAGGGGAGGTTTAGGTTGGGTATCAGCAAAAGGTTTTTCCACCCAGAGGGTGGTTGAGCACTAGAAAACCTCCCCAGGCAGTGGTCACAGCACCAACCTGCCTGAGTTCAGGAAGTGTTTGGATGATGCTCTTAGGCACATGAGTTGATTCTTGGGGTGCCCTACACAGGGACAGGAGTTGGACTCATGGTCCTGATGGGTCCCTTCCAACTCAGCATCTCCTATGATTCTGTGATTCTATGACAGAGGTTGAGGAAACCACTCAGAACATCTCTGGTGGCCAGAGACATCCTGAACCCCCAGGACTTGACATACACACACAAACACACACACACACACACACCCTGAGGTCCTGCTGGTTGGGGACAGTTGTTGTGCTCCATCAGTGGCTGCCACATCCAGCAGAGCAGACACCCCCAGGTGCCCATGGTGGGTCCCTCTGCATCCCGGGGGGCTCAGGGCCTGGCACTGCCTCAGGTCCTGCTTTCCCTGCCCCTGTAGGTCAGATGTGTCAGGGCAGCCAGAGCCCTGGGGTGCCCAGGGTTGGGAGGGAGGCACTGACCCAGCTCCCCCAGGCTGTTCCCTGTCTCCTTTTTGCCTACTCACATTCCCAGGGTCTCCCACTTTCTCTCTTCTTGGCTAGTGGGAAACACAAAACCAGAACAGGAGTGGGTTAAAAACGGCTGCAAACCCAGGATAAAAAAGCTCCTTCTGGGTAGAAGGGATGGGGTGGGTGGGATTGCAACACCCCTGGGTCTCACCAAGGACCTTTTCTCCCCCACAGCCTATTTCCAGAGGAAAATAACAGAGTACCAAGAACAGAAGCAGCACCGAAGGGCCTCCTGAAGTCCAACCTGGGAAGGCAGGAGCAGGGCTGGGACCCAGCAGGTCCCCACCAGCAGCACCAGCCCCACGTTTGTGCCCCATCCAAGGGCAGAACCCGCCGGACTCTGCTGGCTCCGTCCGTGACTCGTGGGGTGTGTGGGCAGCACCAACCAACCAGTTCCTACCCTTTCTGTTTGGTTTTGTTGGTTGTTTTTTTTCCCCTCAGGGCATCATTGCACTGGAAAACTGTTGCACAGTGAGCAGGCTGGGGTTTCTCTTTCCAATCAGGGACAAACTGCAGCTCCATCAGGACCTCCCGCAGCGAGGGAAGGAGGGCAGGGAATTGGCTGCAGGAAAGCAAAGGCTGTAGAGTAATTGTTAGAGAAAACCAAGGAAAAGGATGAGTAGGAAATAGTGTTCTTGCTAATTAAAACAAACCTCGGGTTTGCAAAGAAGTAACATCCTATTGAACAAGTTTCTGAAGTTTCTATTATTGACTGTTTCACTTTGTTTTCTGGCAAGTTTGTTATTGTTAAATAGCAGCAGGAACAACACGGGATTTCCAGGATCAGAAGGGGCTCCAGGAAAGCTGGGGAGGGACTTGGGACAAGGGCAAGGAGGGATGGGATGAGGGGGATGGATGAAAAGTGGAAGAGGGAGATTGAGGTTGGAGATGAGGAGGGAATTCTTTGGTGTGAGGGTGGTGAGAGCCTGGCCCAGGTTGCCCAGGGAAGCTGTGGCTGCCCCATCCCTGGCAGTGTTGAAGGGCAGGTTGGATGGGGCTTGGAGCAGCCTGGGCTGGTGGGAGGTGTCCCTGCTCACTGAAGGGGGTTGGGGCTGGATGGTCTTTAAGGTCCCTTCCAACCCAAACCATCCACGATGCTGATTTGAGAGGCTGTCTCTCCAGCAGCTGCTGTGTTGGTACCACCCAGAGCCCAGTTCAGCTCTTCAAAGTAACAAAAATACTCTTTTCCAACAGGTGATTGATTTGTGCTGCAAACCAACTGTGAAGGCCACAGGGCTGTGTTGTGTAGCAGAGGGAAACGGCTGCTCAGCAGCCCTGGGGAGGGAGGAAGTGTTTGTTCAATCCAGTACCTGTTGGCATCCTACTTGCTTCTGGTTTTGGTGCCAACTTCTCTGAAACTCTCACAGCTGGCCCGGGCTCTGAAATGGGATGCCTGCAGCACTTTTCCAGTTTTTCCAGTTCCTAATGCACTCATCCCAGGCAGAAATGTTGCAGCAGGGAAAGCTGGTACTGCCTGCAGATCTGGCTGGTTCCTTCCCTGATAAACCAAGTCCTGGTATTTCTCCCAGCCAGGGCTGGAAGGAAGAGCTTCCACCTCCTCTCTGGATGTTGCAGCCAAGTTGCCACCTCACTCAGTACCCTCTAGACATGTCCACAGGGGCAGATCTTGTAAAAAATAGAGTTTAATGCAATTTTTGCAGTGGTATTCAATGCCAGAGGGAGAGATTTTTTCCATGAACACCAATAAGGGAGCAGCCTGGCTGCCAGGGGGGCTGAGCAGTGTGGGAGACAGATGGAAAAGGGCATTTGGTGCAGAAGTGACTTTGTGGAAGGGACAGAAGCACAGTTGGGCAGAGGGTACAAACTGAACAGCACTGGAAAGTTCTGGTCCCACTGAAAGCTTGGAGAGCTGGGCAAAGAGGAACCTCATGAGATTCAACAGGAGCAAGTGCAGAGTCTTGCACCTGGGGAGGAACAACAACATGCACCAGGACAGGCTAGAGAGCAGCTCCATGGAGAAGGACCTTGGAGTCCTGGTGGACAACAAGTGATCCATGGAACATGGAACAATGTGTCCTTGTAGCCAAGAAGGCAAATGGTCTACAGAGATGCAGCAGGAGGAGTGTTTCCAGCAGGTTCTCCTGCCCCTCAGCCCTGGTGGGACCTCACTTGGAGTGTTGTGTCCAGTTCTGGGCTCCCCAGTTCAACAGGGACAAGGATCTACTGGAGAGAGTCCAACAGAGGCTACAAGGATGACGAAGAGACTGGAAGACCTGCCTGATGAGGAAAGGCTGAGAGACATGGGGCAGTTCAGTCTGGAGAGGAGAAGACTGAGGGGGGATCTAATGAATGTCTATAAATACATGAGGGCATCAAGAAGGCAGGACAAGCTCTTGTCACTTGTGCCCTGTGACAGGACGGGGCAATGGGTTCAAACTGGAGCACAGGGAGTTCCACCTCAACATGAGGAAGAACTTCTTGACTGTGAGGGTGACAGAGCCCTGGGACAGGCTGCCCAGAGAGGTGGTGGCGTCTCTTTCTCTGGGGACTTTCAAGATCTATCTGGATGCCTTTCTGAGTGACCTGCCCTAGTTTTTGGTCCTGCTCTGCAAGGGGGGTTGGACCCGATGATCTTCAGAGGTCCCTTCCAACATTCTGTGATTTTTGTTCAGCCCCCATGTGTGTTTGGACAGGGGGAGTAAGGATTGTTGGGGGGGAAAGAAGGGATTTTTGGTCCTGGAGGTATCTTCTCTGGCTCCTCAAGTTCCCCTCAAGGATAGTGAATGTTAGAGGTTGAACTACAGGAAATTAAAGTTTTTTTCTGGAGGGGTTTCATTCTTAAAAGTTCATGTGCCAGCAGAAAATCCTGTGTGTGTGTAAAATCAAGGACAGCTATTAAGGATTGTCCCTTTTGGAAAGACCACTGGCCTCCTCCTCCTCCAGTTCTGAGAAGACACCCACCTTTTCTGGTGGTGCAGCTTTAACAGTCTCACTGAGAAAAATGAGAAGTGCTCCTTGTTTTGGCAGTAACTTCAGAAAAGAAGAATTAGAAACCCCAGGTGGGACTGGATGGGGTGATGCTTCATTCCCACCAGAGAAAAAGGTAACAGCAAGTTACTCCTCAGCTGCTGAGGAAACAGAGAGACCCACAAACTGAGCCCTACCTTGGAAAAATAAGAAGATAGTAAAATGTGGAGGGTGCTACAGATAAGGGTTAAGAGTTAGAAGACCTGGTGCCACCTGGCCTGGCTGCTGAACAAAGAATAGGTTGTTAAGTTGCTTCAAGCACTTTTAGTGGTGTTATGGGAAAAGGGACCTAGATCCACTCCCAGTGACCAGCCCATCCTTTGGGAAGTACCTCAGGTCTCAGCTCATCCTCTTAGGTGGGTACAGGACCAGAGAAGGGCTTGTACTGAGAGGACAAGAGGCAATGGGTTAAAACTGGAAGAGGGAGATTGAGGTTGGAGATGAGGAGGGAATTCTTTGGTGTGAGGGTGGTGAGAGCCTGGCCCAGGTTGCCCAGGGAAGCTGTGGCTGCCCCATCCCTGGCAGTGTTGAAGGGCAGGTTGGATGGGGCTTGGAGCAGCCTGGGCTGGTGGGAGGTGTCCCTGCCCATGCAGGGGGTTGGAACTTAGATGATCTTTAAGGTGCTTTCCAACCCAAACCATTCCATGATTCTATGACCATTCTAGGATGATCTAAGTCTCTCGAACCACCTCCTCAGAGGTGGGGGCCCTGGGTTTGCTGCTGGACACAGTGGGTCACCTCAGCTGCTGTTTGCCTGCAGCACAGACCCCTGAGCTGGGCTCAGCTCACACAGCAGCAGAGCAGCAACTCTCACAACGTTATTTTTCAACCCTTCTCCCTGCCCAAGATTTGTCTTAACACTTGATCTAAGCCTACAACAGTAAATAAAACAGTGCCAAGAAATGCTTTCCCTCCACTGGAAGTTGAGCTCATTTATTCTGCTAAATTGTTCTCATAGTTCCCAGCCCAGTATTGGCCAGCTCACACTGGTACAAACAACTCCCAGGCATGGCTTGGGAGGCAGCTCAGGACTGGCTCCTGCTCTGCAGCTCAGTTCCTGCTCTGCAGCACAATTCCTGCTCTGCAGATGCCCTGCTGGGAAGGGAAGTGTCACCTCATGGCATGTGTCACCCCCTCCTAGCTGCCCCCAGGGCCAGCAAATAACCCTGGGCTTACTGAACCTGCCAGAGTCAAGGCAGTCATGACCACTAAGTGCTTTCAGGTTGCTGCAGGATTGTAACAGACACAGCACCTGCCTTTCAGCACCTCCCACTGGTTGCAGCCTCTGGAAACTGCCCCAGTCTTCACCACCTCTTGATCTTCTGGAATTGATTGAACTTCTCTGCAGCTCCAGTCCAAACTCAAAGATGAGGCACAGCAGCACTGGAGGTACCTGGTGCAGCCAACCATGGCCTGGGCTGCATCCCCAGCAGCGTGGCCAGCAGAGCCAGGGAGGGGAATTCTCCCCCTTTACTCTGCTCTGGTGAGACCCCACCTGGAGAACTGGGTCCAGTTGTGGAGCCCTCAACAGGAGGACATGGGGCTGTTGGAGTGAGTCCAGAGGAGCCAGAGATGCTGGGAGGGCAGGAGCAGCTCTGCTCTGGAGCCAGGCTGGGAGAGTTGGGGTGTTCAGCCTGGAGAAGAGAAGGCTCCAGGGAGACCTTAGAGCAGCTTCCAGTGCCTGAAGGGGCTCCAGGAAAGCTGAGGAGGGACCTGGGACAAGGGCAGGGAGGGATGGGATGAGGGGGATGGATGAAAAGTGGGAGGGGGAGATGGAGGTTGGAGATGAGGAGGGAATTCTTTGGTGTGAGGGTGGTGAGAGCCTGGCCCAGGTTGCCCAGGGAAGCTGTGGCTGCCCCATCCCTGGGGGTGTTGAAGGGCAGGTTGGATGGGGCTTGGAGCAGCCTGGGCTGGTGGGAGGTGTCCCTGCCCATGTAGGGGGTTGGATCTATTTTTAGGGTCCCTTGCAAACCAAACCATTCCATGATTCTATGAATGGACAGAAAAATACAAACCTGACATGAAACAGAACCAGGCTCTGAGGTCCCTGACCTGTCTCTTCCCTGGGTCACACTCCTTGCCAAATCTCCTCTCCTAGTTTAGAAGAGGCAACAAACACTCCAACACCAAGTGGGAATTTTCAGCCTCCCTTTACAGTTCTAGGAGAAAACTTGGCTGAGAGAGACCAGGTTGTCTTTGTCCTGCAGGCATGCTCAGTTCAGGAAGCTCAACGTGCTGCTGAGGCAAAAGCTCTTCCCTCTGAGCATCTTCTGAACACAACAGAAAGTGAAAAAGCACCTTCCAAATCAGCTGAACTCACAGAAATCCTTGTTCCCTTCTCACCTCCTTGAGCAGCCTCAGCTCTACAAGAACATCCCAGGTAACCTCTGACCACAAACAGGATGGTGCTGCCAGGGCTAAAGTTCATTATGCCATTATTGATTACAGCCACAGCAGCACTTCACAGGGCTTGGGTTACCAGCAGTAACTATTTCCTGATAACATTTAACATTATCAGGAGATAAATGGGCATTTTTTTTCCTGGCTGGCTGAACACAGAGGACATTCCAACTTTCAAGTAGTGAAAAGCTGAGGAAAGGTGCCCTGGTGCATCTCCTGAATATCAACAGGTTTTAGCTTAGACACACTGCATATATAAAATGAAACTTGGTTGGTCCTTGACAACCCTTTAAAGGTTTCACTTCTTCACCAGTCTCAAGTATCAGTGTATCAGTGATTTGGAGCAGCTTAAACCTTCAAACCCTGCAGTCTGAGAGCACAAAGAGTCTCCTCTACTACTTACTGTACTACTTACACTCTCAGGAGAGACTGTCCAAGTGATAGGGTTTTGTACCCACTTCACATTGATAAGAAGAAACATGTGATTTTCATCCTTCCCAGTCAGGGTGGTGAGAGCCTGGCCCAGGGTGCCTAGGGAAGCTGTGGCTGCCCCATCCCTGGCAGTGTTGAAGGGCAGGTTGGATGGGGCTTGGAGCAGCCTGGGCTGGTGGGAGGTGTCCCTGCCCATGCAGGGGGTTGGAACCTGATGATCTTTAAGGCCCCTTCCAACCCAAAGTCAGGGTGGTGAGAGCCTGGCCCAGGGTGCCCAGGGAAGCTGTGGCTGCCCCATCCCTGGCAGTGTTGAAGGGCAGGTTGGATGGGGCTTGGAGCAGCCTGGGCTGGTGGGAGGTGTCCCTGCCCATGCAGGGGGTTGGAACCTGATGATCTTTAAGGCCCCTTCCAACCCAAACCAGTCTACAATCCCATGGTTTGTGCAATTGGACACTGGTCCCTCAGCAGCTTAAAATCCTTCCAGCCTGTCTCACTCATCCCATGAAGGGCAGCAGCAGAGGCCAGACCATCTCCATCAAACCTGCACCCAGCTGAACACAGCCAAGAGTAAATAAGCCAGGTACCTAAATCCCAGTTGTAGCTAAAACTGCTGCTAAAGAAAGAGCTGCCACCTCACACCCTGTAGGTGCCCCCAGTACCAAGACACTAGGAATGTAACCTTCCCAGGACTCAAGAGCTGTGACCCAGGTCTGTGGTCAGGATGTGGGAACCAAAACTCAAGCTTCAGCTTTGCAGGGACCCTTTGGGAACCCCCACTACAACCCCCAGCCCCCAAGAGCCCTCAGCTGCAGCCATAAAACAGCTGCTTACAACACCTGGAAGTTCAAGGGCAAAGCTGGGAAGCCTACATGGTTTTTTTCCTTGTCCTGAAGACATTCCTCCTTTCCCAGTGCCCCAGATCCCAAGGTGCAGCCTCCAACTCACTTGTTGAAATGGGATCACCTCTAAAGGAAGGAACCAAAACTCTTCCATCCAGAGAAGACACCAGACAGAGCACATCCAGGTGCCACATGCTGGGCTGGAGAAATCACAGGATCATTCTGGTTGCAAAAGCCCTTCAAGATCATTAAGTCCAACCACTACCCTAACTCTGCAGTGTCCACCACTAGACCCTGTCCCCTGGAA